ACAAGGGCTTGGAAGTGGATTCATGTGCAGCAGACCTTACAACCGCAGTCTACTTTTAGACCTATATCTCACAATCTGTGAAGCATTATAGCTCAAATTTTGCAGGGATGATCATCACTCTAACTCCCTAAGGCCTAAACATTGATATAAGTTATGGAGTCGTTTAAAGATGGTCGGATCATAGCAAGAAGTTGCTGAAAAATTAAGACTGCCGAAAATAGAAAATCGACCGAATGATTTGATCACAACTACATCAATTCTTGAAATTTTTCTCCAAATATTTTTCATATGATTTCTCACAAGTTTAGTGGTTGATCACCAAATAGTGGCTTGTTTCAAAAGAAATATGAAGAAATTATGAAGAGCCATGAAAGTTCATGAAGTTTGATTCGAAATTCACGAATTCGATAATAAATCCCCCAAACGATGGAGTTCTTTTATCCAAATTTGTCACAAATTTCCCGAAGCTATTTGGTCCACAAAATTTTCGTAAAAAAGGTGGGAAAATGGATCAAACAAGTAGGAATTGGATAGTGGTATGATTCGTACGAGAGAGAAGATAGCCAAGGGCATATTATGATATTTCTCGAGTTTTGACCTCTCAAAATGGTCATATTTGGCCTACCAGAGCCAACGTTTGATAATCCACCCATCTTCGAGTTGTATTATTGGTACTCCCCCACCTTTGAGTTGTATTATTGGTACTCCCCCACCTTTGAGTTGAATCATTATAGCAGTAAATTCAGAAAATATTCACCAACAAAGATAAAAAGGGAACAAAATGGAGATTTTGCATAGAAAATGCCAATTTTATAGACCTACGACTCATAAACACTCCAACAACACTTGAAGAGTAACTAAGTACCTATGGGCTTAAAAACTCGCACTAACAGGTCGCTTTGCTGGGCTTGTACTGAAATGCACAACCATATTCTGTACCAGCAGAATCCATCACGCATAGTCTTACAAAGGCGGTGCTTGGTCCATCAAAATCAACTAATAAAAGGTGGAGCTCCATAATATTAAGCAAATTTCAGGTATTCCCCACAGGAGGTGTTTGCGCATAGCCTTCCTGGGAACTTCCTCCGGAAAGGAGGTTTCCCAATGTTGTGGCACTCATATTCATGGACTGGCCTCCCTATGCTGAGGTTCTACTCTAGTCTCGAGCCAAAGCCCTCCGTCCTTGACCTCTACCAAGGGATACCTCATAACCCTCATACGTACCTGCATGGGCCTTAAGCCCATTTCTCATGGGCATAAGTTTTCCTGTATTAACAGTTATAGAAACCAGATATTGATTTTTTTATCTTGTATATTACAAGATAATAAGCTTTCTATATTAAGTTTCTTGTATGAGACTTATTTCCTAAAACACAAAAATTGTAATTCTATAAATCTCTGGTAAATAGAATAATCATTATGAATGAGATTCTAGTTTACCCTTCGTAGATGTAGGCATTATTGCCGAACCACGTATATGTCTTGTTGATCTTTCTCTCGCTCGTCACTATTTTCTTCATTGCAAATTCTACACTGTGACTCAGAGTTCTTACACTCTAGAGCTCCAAACTGCCTAGCCTGGTGAGATACCCAAAAAGGGTACCGTTCAGATGCTATGCTCTCAGTTAGAGTCAAAATCTACCCTATAAGATTAACATGAAAGGGTAATCAGAGACCTTGAGAGGCCATACACATCCACAAAATTAAGGCCTAGGCTTTATGATAAAGAGTAGAACTCCACCTCAAAACCTAGCCAGAAATTGCAGCTGCAGTTTCCTTCAGAAATAAAGTTGGATAATGTGTTTATGTTATTTTCACAGTAGTTCTTTTCTTATCTATTTATACATTTCCTGTCTTTCTTAACTATTTATAAGATCCATTTCCATTCATATTAGGGTACGAATTGCCCCATGATATTTCTACATTTCTCATAAATCAATTAGAGGACCTTTCAGGTTTTCTGCATTTATATAGAAATGGTCACTTTAAGGACCATTCTCATATCACATACTTATAGATAGGATATATCTTCTAGTTCTAGCTGTTCCTATGCAAATCTTGCCTGGTTTCCTGTCTCTATGCAAACCTTGCAAGGTTTGCAAGCTCATCCACAGCCTCCACCAAGTGATCGAGCCTAGCCACGAACTCAATGAGCAACGATGCGAAGGTGGCCAGTGAGAGGGCAGTTGTGCTCTCGAGCGCAGTCAACTTTGTCGGAAGGTCGACTCCGACAGCCTCCTCCTCAAACCCACCAATGTCGCATGAGGGCCACGAATGCAACCTCCTCTGTTGCTTCTTCATGGTCTCATGGTACGACTCAGTTGTACCTTCAGACTCACTAAACTTCTTCATGCCTTCGTACTCGGCCAACCTCTTTGAGAGATCGGAGTTGGAGGATGAAAGTTGAGGCTTCAATGAGGGTTTCGTGTCGGCATTCAGAGGCTCAGAAGGTGAGGTGAGGAGGTAGGAGTGCATGTAGATACTGCGTTGCAGTCGTTCAGTGGAGTTGTGGACCTTCTTAAGGAGAGAGGCGGGTTGGCTACGCGTCATGTTGCTTATGTCCTTGCCTAGGCTTCTTACTAGCTCAGCTGCATCGTTGCCTGCTTCCCTGATTTCCGGCTCAAATGCGCTGCGAAGGTTATGGGGTGCCTGTGTGTACACAGAGACACACAACTCAGTCAGCGTTAGCATGCTGCCGTATTGTAGAAATGTGGGTATGGTAATAAATATATTTTTTAAATATAATTTATTTCTAATTTTTAGTAAATATATAATCTTTAGCATGGAGATCATGAATATGAAAAAAATAATAATAAATTAAAAATTAAAAAAAATAATTATATTAAGATGGATGATTTATACACCTGAACCGCGTATTGTAAAAAAGCAGTCCAGCCCGAATGAAACAATTGTTCATTAGTTAAAATGAAACAATTGTTCATTAGTTAAAAGCCTTAATGTGAAGGTGCGATCGATTAGAGGGGAGGCCGTCAGTCCTGACACATACTATTCCAAAAAGTCAGTACCTTAATATAAAATATTTCTTGTACGGTATATTAAATTTGTTATCGCACTAGGGAGATTATTTAAGAAAAATGCTCCTTATATATGGATTTCAAATTAGGGATGTGTAATGTTTTAAGCGCGTGGTTTGGTTGCATTCTTAAACAATCCATTTAAGGCCCACCTCCAAATTGTTTCATAACATGTAACTTTGGTGTAAAAAAATTTCAGGATTTTCTAAAGGGTGCAGTTGGCATACGTATGCATCCGTAGCTGTAGACGTAAGGTGCACCTTCAAATTTTATCATGTTATATAATTTTGATGTAAAATGTTTTTAAGATTATCTCAAAATCTATTTTTATATCTAATTATGACATTTTAAATTTCAAAAATGGTTAAAATCAAGAAGATCTATAAACATATGAAAATCTTGAAAATGGACAGTGTAGATAATATGTTGTAAAATGCATTATTTATGAAACTTAAAATCTTTTTATTTTCCATGGTCATACATCTCGATGTCCAGATGATCAATCAAAG